AATCCTGAATGGAATCAATGAAGTCATAATCAAAGACCTCATAAACGAGTAAAAGAAATTAGAAACTAATGATTATTTGAATTTATGAAATCAATTATTTGATTCATTCTTTCTTCAATCTCTTCTATTCTTTTTGTTAAATCATCAATTTTCATTAATGAGGTGATTCTTGATTGAGGAATAGATTTCAAACTAACCACTCCTTTTATTTTTGAAATTTTGAATCCATCAACTTTAAACATTTTATTCAATTTACACGTTGTCAATTCTTCAAATAATTTTTTATTATGTATGAAATGAACGTCAAGACTAACGACGTGAAAAAATTAGGATTCACAAACGAGGAAATAAAGGATATATTAGAGGAGGCGGGTTATGAAGTTGATAAATATTATTTAAGAAATTGTAAAAAATTCGCCGAGTTATTAAATGATTTAGATTATGATGGAAAAATGAATAAAAATGATGTTATAAATTTCTTATATCCCACATCTGAAGAAGAAAAACCTAAAGAACCTGATGTTTTCCCCGAATATTATGAAGAACGGATTAAAGATGATGATGAATACGATGAAATTGAAAGACTGGAAAAAATAAGAGATGAAATAGATGAAAAAATTAAGGAATTAAGAGAAGTTGAAAAATATAATGAAAATGAAGTAGAGGGTTTAATGAATATCCCAGCTTCAGAATCAGAAGTTCAGAAATCTCATGAAGAAAGATATAAAAATTATGTCTCAGAATCAACACAAAATTTATTAGATGGTGAAATAGACGAAACACTTTCAGAAGAAGGTATTAAATTTATTCGTAAACATAAGTTACAATTTATTGATAATGAAGGATACCCCTGTATCTTATTTTCACCACCTCTCGATTCTGAGAAATTCAAAAAAGCTCTTAAAAACGTGACATATGCAACTAATACGATTAAGAAAGAAGATCATGATATTTACACAAATTATTATTTAAATAAATGCACGGGTGTTGATAAAGTTTTTGATTTATTAGATAAAATATCAAAAGAAACCATTGGAACCTATAAAATTTTGTGTGATTGTGGTTTCATTGTTGAAGATACCAATAATGTTTCATATGAAAGAACAGCACCGAAGGAAGACGAAGTTGAAAGGTCTATACCATTCGTTATTAAGAATATAAAAGATATGAAAACTTATAAGCATTATATTTATTCATTTATTACAGAAAAAATGGAAGCAACCCATAAAACATCTTCTCATCATTTTATAGCTATTCATACATTCCTTTTCAAAGTTGTGAAATTAAATAAGACAGGAATTAGATTTAATGTATCAGGGTACGCATTCTTGAGTAAATTAAAATGTATTCGTCACGTCGCAGATGATAAAAATTTATGTGTTCTTAATTCATTTTATGGACTTTAAAAAATAAACTTTATTTTTATTTATTTTTTTAATTTTTTATTCTTACATAAATGAACAAAAACGGAACAGCTAAAATGAATGATAATCAAATTAGAGCAGAAGGTAGAAGGTTATTTAAACGCTTCTATAACATTCCTGATGGTGTTAATCCTAAAACTCGTAGAAGCTATTTAAATGAAGCAATAGATGCATATGAAGGGTTTGACATTTCATCAGAAAGTGAGAGATTAGCGAGAATGTTAAATGTTAATATTGATTTCTATTATTGTGATCCTCAACCAGAAGACGTGGACATAAATAAGGTAGACTTTCCATTAGTGGAATCAATAATGATAGATCCAGAATTTGAAACAGTAAATATTTTATTAACACAGAGTCCATGTGGAAAACTTCACGCTGACAGAATAACAGACGTTGAAGCACTCACCGGCTATAAAGTTTGTCCATATTGTAAAGAAGAAGTTTATTCTATCCGTGATGACCCAGAAAGGAAAAACCAAAGAAGATTTTTAAAGCATTGTGAGAAATGTAAAGAAAATAATGGAAGATTAATTCAAGACGTTCAATTGCAAAAGACACAGCAACCATATGCACCACATATTACGAAACAGAAGATATATCAGTGGTTATTAGCTCACAATTTGCAGAAATATTATAAACCGACAAGATATTATATTACTTTTGACTTCGAAACATTAGAGACTAAAGAAGAATTACAACTTTCTGAGTGTGCAACTTTGAACGCTTACTTAAAACCATTCATGGTATCATCAACGGTTAAATTAAATGATAAAACATATACGAGGAATTTTTGCTTAACTTCGAGTGATTCTTTTATTTCTGATTGGATTGAGTTTTTATTTTCAACCTGTTCATTAGTTGTTGAATCAAACATGAGTCAATATGAAGAATTATTGAAGCCGCAAACATTAAATGAAAAACAGAAGGAAGCATTTAAAGAACTTCTAGATGAGGAATTCAATAAAGTGAATATCATAGGTTTTAATTCGGGAAAGTTTGATTTAAATTTAATTCTTCGTGATTTAAATACTGCAAAATGGAAAATAAAATCAATGCTGGGTTTATCTTCTCAATTTAAGCAAATCATTGTAAAGAAAACAAACGTTCCATATGAATTGAGATTTATTGACATCAGAAATTATATAGCGGGTGGGACATTAGACCAATTCACTCAAGATTTCGGAAACAATAAATCACGTGTTAAATCCTTTTTACCTTATCAATTCATCACATGGGAAAATTACGAAGAAGAATTATATAAAGTGGAACCATTCACTCAAGATTCATTTTATTCAGCATTAACTCAAGAAACTATATCAGATAGTGATTATCAAATATATCTCAATGATGCTAAAAACTTTAAGAATAGATTAGAATATTTTATTCATTTTTGCAATAAAGATGTTGAAATTATGATTGACCCAATTGATAAAATTATTGAAGAAACATTTGTTTATAAAATTGATATGCTTCATAATCTTTCTTTATCATCGAATGCTTCAATGATTCGTTACGCTTTAGCATATAAAGACTTTAATCCTAATGAAAAATATCCTGAGGAAGAGATAGAATCAAGTTTTGAATTAACGAAAAAGTATTGGAAATATAAAATTGAATCATATAAGAAACAAGATGAAAAAGCAGAAAGAGATACTAAAAATAATGTTTCAATGGATGATTTTCAATACTATCACGATTTAATCCTTTCATCTAAATGCAAAATGTGTGGTAAAGCGTTTACATATGCTAATAAACCAACATTAGATAGAATCGATAATGAAAAACCACATACCAAAGAAAATTGTCAGTTAATGTGTTGTTATTGCAATGTCGTGAAATCAAATAAAGATGAAGATGTTCAACGTTTAAGAATCAATTTAAGAAATTATGCATTAAAAAATAATTTACCAATGACTTTAGATTCAGTTGAAGCTTATCACATTCTCCGTAATGGAATTACTGGTGGTTTATCAAATGTTCAACATAGAGTAAATCTTAAAGGAATCACGCACATTAATAAACTTTCATATAGTCCAGAAACTAAAACTGTATCAAATGAGGACACCACCAACATTATGACTCATTTCGTTGGTGTTGATTTTAATTCATTATATCCTTCATCATTTTCATCTAATCCTCATGATTTCATTCAATATACTGACCATAAAATGTATATGCCGGGAAGATTGAATGGTGTTATCATTTGTGATACAGCAACAAAGAAAGCAAAAGCAATGGGAATTATTAGAAAGAAAAATACTTTATTCGTGGCTGAAGTAAAGGGTCACATTGATGAAAAATACATTAATGATTACATAAACTTTTTACCGATAATAAGAAACTTAGATATTATCACAGATGAAAAAACAATTGGCAGTTTTATGTATAATTACATGAAATCAAACAATCTACCAGTTGACCAGAAACAGAGGAAATTAACTCAGTTAGCATCAACACACAACCAATATCAACCATTTTCTTCTTATTATCTTTGGTATCTAATAGACAGATTTCATTTTATCATCGATGATATTCAATCAATTTTAACATTTACGAAAAACACTTGTTTTAATGAATTTGCGAACGAATTTATGAACGAAAGACAAAAGGCTGAATTAGAAGGAAATAAAGGAAAAGGTTTATTTTGCAAGATTTCGCTTAATGGATCATATGGTTACGATGCAATGAATACACAAAATTACACAAAGACTAAAATAATGAATGCACAGAAGGCACGTGTTGCATGTATGCCAAATAAGTTTAAAAACATAAGAGAAATAGGTGAGGATACATATCAAGTGATGCTTAAAGATAGATTTTATAGATGTGATACATGTTTACAAGAGGCATTCTTCACTTTAGATAACGCAAAATACTGGTATTTAGTTTTCATTTATGATTTTATGTATAAATGCATGGATGTTAATCGTTTTCATTTCATTGAAGGTGATACTGATTCATCTTATTGGGCAATCGCTGGCGACCCAAATCTTCCTAACACTCAAGCATTTCAAGCAATTGTAACCGATAAACAATTTTATGATAAAAACATTTTCAAATTCGCACCATTTGATTTCTTCTGTTTTGATGAGAAATTTAAACCTAAATTAAAGAATAAAGCTGAAGAAAAAGCACACGAGAAGAAGTTATTGGGTTTAGCAATTGAGAAACAAGGTGATAACATGGTTGCTTTATGCCCTAAGTGTTATACATCATTCAATGGTTCAATTGATGGAAGTGATTTTAAAAAGATTGCACAAAAAATGAAAGGTGCTAGTTTACGACAAAATAAGCAATTAACACCTAAAAATTATTTGGATATAATAAATGATAAAGTGATATTTGATGGTCAGAATATTAATTTACAACTTAAAAACGGGTCAATGACTCGCTTAACAATTGGTAAGACTGCATTAACAGGAGCACACACTAAGGCTGTATGTTGTGAAAATGGATGTTGTATGCCATTTATTTAATACCATTAATGATGTGATTCAATATGTAAATAATGGTTTTGATACTATGATTCAAAGAGGTGGGCACCCTTAAAACATTTATTTTATTTTTATATAAATGGATAACACAGATTTAAAAAATTTAATTTATGATTTAGTACTTAATCAAAATTTTCTTACTTATTATGAATTAAAATCATATCTCCAAAAACATGATAACACTATAACGGGTGATGATATGGATTATTATTATCCATATTATAAAAATGAAATTTTGAAATATCATGATAAAATAATTTCTAAAATTAAAGACAAAATTAAAAATAATGAATATACAAAGGAAAAAACTAAATCACAACTTAAACAGTTGAAAGATTTCAAAAATAAAGTATTAACAGAAGAAGATATTGATGAATTATATAAATTATATAATCCTGAGCCGCAAAAACCAAAGGAACAAAACGTCCAGGTCCTTCAGACCATAAATGAAGCACAAGCTTTAATTTATGATTCATTAGTTAAATCATATTCAGCCCAACTTTTAAATGAAGATCAACTTTTGGAATTCATCCTTCAACATAAACTCGAAGCGGGAAAGTATATCAAACCTTTATATACAGCATATTTAAAACAAATGAATAGAATACATCCAGAATTAATGAAGGGGGAATGAAATCCAAAATCAAAGCAGATAAAATTAAACCACTTGCAACACCAAAACCTCCAACGACAGTACCTCCTCCTCCTTCAGTTAATCCTTCATCATTCACTTTATTATATCCATTTCAAACATTAAAGAAGCAAAAAGATTTTAAAAAAGATTTCAAGATATTAAATAAACCAATTGACCCAAAAATTCAACCGTTAAAGGAAAAATTTAGTCGCCCTTCATTTGCACCATATCCATATTCATACGAAATCGATCATTTAGAATATTCAAAAGGAAACGTTACTTATTTATTTGCCATTAACATTAACACTAGATATTTATATTGCATTCCAGTGAAAGGGAAAACAGAACAGGAAACAAGAAGAGCTATACAATACTTACTAGATCATGAAAGAGTAGATAATATCAGGGGTGATGGTGATAAAGGATTTCAGGCAGCTATGGCTCATTATTTCCCACAAATTAATTTTTTCTTTTCATCCTCTCCATATACGTTTCATAATAAAATAGTTGATGCGGTAATGAGAACTCTTAGAGATGCGTTAGGTGTTAACGGTCAGATATACTGGGATGGAAATCATGACTCCATCATACAACAGTTAGTATATTATTACAATAATACATGGCATAGAACTATAAACATGAAACCAGTGGAAATGAAAAATGATATTTCAAAAGAATGGGAATATATTAGAAAGCAAATGGAAAGGTTGAATGATGTTAAACGTGAACAAATTAATTCGGGGCTCATGAATTTTAAACAAGGGGATAAAGTTTTGATTCATCTCGATTATGGAAAAACTGATAAATCAATGACAAAAAGAAGACGAAGATTTGACACAATAGCTGAATTTGTTAGATATATTAACGGTAATGTATTAGTTGAAGTTGACAATAAATTAATAGAAATTCCGATTTATTTTATTACTCCATTATATTTAAATAATATTTAATTTTTTTTATTTCGTAAGAAATGAGTGACAACAAAGCATCCAAGAGTCCTGACAATGAATATAAAAAGAAACTAAACAGAATTAAATCAAAAATATGCTATTACAAAAAGAAGCCGCAATGCGGTGGGGCTGATGCCCATAAAACTAAAGTAATTGAAAACGATAAAGAGAGGAAAGAAATAATCGAAAAATTAGAAACTTACCGTTCAATCCTTAAACTGAGTGAAGCAAAAATAAAAGAATTTAATAGAATAAATAAATTGATTGGAAGAGATGAATTTAATAAAGATGAATTTTTAAACTCTATCCAAATTTAATTTTTATTCCTCTTCGACAACGTCTCTAGGTTCTTCTTTCCATCATTACTGCATAACCGCATCTTCTCGGTTTTCGTGGTTTGTTGTTTTTAATTAGTTCTTGCATCATTTTTATCATTTCCTCCCTTGTTATGATTCGTGGTAAATTTTGAGCTTGTGGGGTATCCATTTATATAAAAATAAAATTTTGTTATCAGTTATTTTTGTTTCGTACCGAAATGGCTAACAAAAAAGTGACAGAAAACCTTAAATTGCGCGGCAATTTTAATTAAAAAAATAAACATTAATTTTTGTGATTGATATTATGCATTTTATTTATATTATAGGGCTGTACAAGATTTAAAAAAACATTGCCGGGTTACCGTAGAGGCCTAAAAAATCGCGCCTCGGCGGCAAGCCGCCTCGGCATTAAGAATGCGCATCTAAATTTTTATATGTCCTTCTTTCTTTTATTTTTCCCTTCCCTTTCTTTTCTTTTTCTTTTTTTTCCCTCCTCTTGCTCTCATTTACCTTTTTTTTCCTTTTCTCATCATTTTTCAAAATTTTAAATTTTTATCAAAAATCTTGCCTATAAAAGCAGACTATGGAACCTTTTAATGCCTCTTAATCAATATTATACAGCATAAAGCATATTAAATGAAAGTAATTACGTATAAATTTATTTTATTATCTTATTTATTAATTCTTTAGCATGTATTGTTTAATATTAACTTTTCTGTACATTAAATATGATATCTCCAAAGTATGAATGCCTTGTAACGAAACGAAAACTTAATTTTATGTTGAATATTTGTCACAAACATTAGATTATTAAAATATATGTTGGATATCCCTTAGTATGAGACTTCATGACTCTTGTAGTCTAACGTGAGCTTTGGATTGCAAGCTCTGTGGTTAACGAACATAAATTAATTGTAAAGTTTTCAAAATTTTTCATCGTTTCTATCAGCATCTATTTTTCCTTTAAAATAATATATTTGTATGAATACAATATTTAGTAATTTTTTTATTTCCCATAATTTCATTCAAAATTTCAGAAAAAATTAATTTCTATTCAATATTATTTCAGCTTCAAAACACTTCATTCTTATAGATGTTGATTCACTAAAGTGTGATACTCAATGTCTTATTTCAATGAAAATTGTTCTGCAAATTTATTTCACTTTTGACCTCACTTTTTCCGTAATTCAATTTTTTACTTTTAATATTTTAGATCTTCATAATATCATTTGAAAAATTAACCATATAAAAAAATCAAGTTAACAATTCACTTTTTCCGTAATTCAAAAATCAAAAATATAAATAATATATCTTTTTATCAAATATTATTATTATATTCTATGAAAAATGAGGTCCGGAAATTTTGCGGATTCCCGTAACTCAATTTTACGGAAAAAGTGCAGTAAACTATTCAAAATACGGAAAAATTGGTGTAAACTAATGATTTTACGGTAAAATCACGGAAAGTCCCGGAAGAATATATGTGCCTATATGAAATTATACAAAAATGAATCAAACGCATTTTAAAAGATTGTTCTTGTATTATAAATGCTATTCGCAGATTTATTAGTTGAAGAAAATTACCAAATTTTTGCCGATTTACAAAAAATGATTTACAAAGCATATTTTTATAAGGCTTTAAAAATCTTTAAAATGTGACCGGTGACGGAAATCCATGGTAACCAACCGCGGTTCCCGTTTGGAATGCCATATTATATTATATAAGATTTAAATTTAGGGGAAAATTGGAAAAAAAAATAAGATTGGAAGTCTTTAGGTAAGAAGGAAAGGGCAAGAGATATATAGTGTACCTATATACCTCTTGCCCTTTCATTCTAAGTAGAAATGGGAGAAACTTTGTCCGCATCATCAGTTATGCGGACAAAGTTTCTCCGATTTCTAATGGGAATTGCAGGCTATGAGGCACTGATATACAATCAGTACCTCATAGCCTACAATTCCCCTTATTAGACTTCCAAACTTTGAGTTAATGTCAAGACATTAACTCAAAGTTTGGAAAACTTCTCGTAAGAATCAATCGTCAAAAACCTCGATTGCAGTTATATTCATTGTGTTAAATTTGATTTATTTTGAAATTTTTATAAATTAAATTTTATATAACATAAAGCGTTATGAATTAGTATTTCCATATGAATTTTATCTCGAAAATAGTAATTCTGTACAGTTATATTTCGGTTAATTTTGGAAATTTCTAGGAATACTTTAAGATAGTATGATTATATATAACTCTGCCTTCATGATTTATTTTAGCTTTCGCGCAAATATCAGTTAACTTAACTCCATTATTTGATTTTGTGATGGCTTCACAAAGCCAATCAATATCAATCTCTTCTGGAGAATGTCTTCTCATCTAGAATATTTTCAATACTTTACATACAAACATTTTTATTTCTAAAAAACTTTTTAATTTTTTCTAGGATATATGAATGAAAATAGTTAGAACAAGATTTTGAAGCTCAAAACATTAAAAATTATTAAAGATTTGTATAATATGATTAAAAATGGGAAATAATATGAGGCAATATAAAGGAATATGAATATTAAATAAATATATCTAAATAGAAAGAATCAGAAAAATCAAATTATTGGCGCCAAAAATGTCACCTTTTGGTGAGCCATTTCGGTATGAGATAGTTATCAGTTATTTTATCGTTTACGTTAATGGTTTTTAGGTTATTCAATAATTAATTATTTTTGAATAACTGAAGGTGTCACTACGTCACCATGTGTCACCAGGTTAATTAACTTCTCTTAAAAATGATGACAACATGACATTTTGACAACTAGCCCGGAAATAAATTTTATCGTTTACGTTTATGGTTTTTAGGTTATTCAATTATGAATTATTTTTGAATAACTGGGAAATAAATTTACGTCAAATATGCAATTTATAAAATCTTATGTCGACAGGCTACGTAGCACAGTGGTCTAAGGTGGTGTTATGGAGGGGTCAGGATCTGTGGTTCGAACCGCGACAGCGCCGTATTTTCTTATTTTCTTTGTTTGTCTTCTTTGTCGTGAAAAAACAGGTGGGAAAAGAGGTGAGATCTCACCTCTTCACCTAAACATTATTTTTGTCTGAATTCAATAAAAATAAATGGTTCATTTACTCACAATATTTTTGTACAAAACGACCCCAAACTTTTAACTTCTTTTCTGCAGTTTCTAATGCTATCTTAGCGAGTTCATATTCTCTAAATTCTCTCTTTAAATCTTCTTGTTCCCATTGGTCTAGTTCGTATGAAGAATCTCTATAACCATAACATATCTCACGTTCATGTTCTAATTGTTTTTCGCACATTTTTCTAACTTCTTCTTCAAACAAAGGTTTTGCATTCTCTACTGTATCTTCGAGTTCTTCTTCATCTAATTTCTCATGAACTTTCTTGTCTATGGAGTCCATAATTTTTCCAACTGCTATGCAATATTTTGGAGAAGCCCACATTGCTATATAGTTTATAAGTCTTGGGTCTATATACGTTCCTCTAACCTGTTTGATTTCATCAGGAATTCCTGCATGAATTTTGTATAAAAAGCAACAGTCCGAATTCCGGTGGTTGCTATATTCTTCACAAAATGCCTTATAATACTCTTCCCAGGACTTATTTTCCAACAACTTTCTAAAGTCTTTCCTAAACTGCTGACACATATTTGTTGCATTTATATAACCATCCTTGTCTCTACGTAAGACTTCAATACCATTATAAGTGCCTTTTGTGAATGTTTCACCATTAGATTTGTTCGTGAATGTTTTTGCTTCGACCGACATTTCTGTTCTTACATACAAAATAAAAAAATTGTTAGAAAAAAATTAGCGTTAGTTTATCGTTAATGGTTTTTAGGTTATTCAATAATTAATTATTTTTGAATAACTGAAGGTGTCACTACGTCACCATGTGTCACCAGGTTAATTAACTTCTCTTAAAAATGATGACAACATGACATTTTGACAACAGTCCTGGAAATAAATTTTATCGTTAATGGTTTTTAGGTTATTCAATAATTAATTATTTTTGAATAACTGAAGGTGTCACTACGTCACCATGTGTCACCAGGTTAATTAACTTCTCTTAAAAATGATGACAACATGACATTTTGACAACAGTCCAGGAAATTTGATGCAGCCCAAAAATAAAGTTAGTTTTAAAATTATTTTTATTTATTTTATTCCTATATAAATGACAGCAACAAACAACAACAGCAACTATATCGTTTCTGATGAAAAAGTTATTGATTCATTAGCTGAGGAATTAGTTGTGGCAGAAACTAAAACCCTCAACGAAAGAATTGGTGAAAATAAGATTGATTTACATAACTACCTCAAACATGATGGAGGAAGAGGAAGGAAAACTGGTATGGCTTTATTAGTAAATAAAATTTCAAATTTAACGATTATAGATGTTGATATTAATAAATCATACAATGATGAACTTAAAGAAACAGTTAGAAAAGATATTTTATCAAAACTTTCGGATAAGGATGTTATCGTTAAAACCGCTTCAGGAGGTCTTCACATTTATTGCAACACCAATTTCTTCTATTCAGTTTCGAACAGAATGATTAAATGTTATTCCTGCAATGATTATGATATCGATATCATGACTTCTATGGATGATTCAAAGCGTTCTTTAGTAGTTATGGCTGATTCAAGAGTTCGCAAGAATGCAACAGAACCAATCAATACATACTCATTCATTCGTGGAAGTTATGATTCGACATTAACTAGAACAGTAAACGATGTATTAAATGATTTGAATATTAAGGTAAGAGTTGAACAGAAGAACGAAGAAATAAAGACTATCATGAATGAAAACAAAGATGTAAACATTGACGATAAACTTGCCCAGAGCATAGTTGATGGCATCTGTGATTTTGAAGTACATAATGACGGTGGAAACATGAATTTAGAAAAAGAAGTTACATTATTCACACTGTTTCAAGCAATTAATTCGTTACCGGATCATTTAATTAATGAAGCATACGGTAACGTTTATAACTTCTGCAATTTAACTGAAAATGCAAAAAGTAATTTTGAAAAAGCACGTAGTAGATATGCACATTTAATGACTTCTCCATTTGCTTTGGTGAAGATTCTAAAACTATACCAAAAAGAATATTATGATGAATACGTTTTACCTTTATTACGTAAGCCAAAAATAACATTTGATATAAAGCTTGATGACTCGTTTTTGATAACAGATATTAGACGCAAGGCTGAAAATCATCAGTATAAAAACAGTTCTGAAGTAATTGAGGATTTATCACGTGTCATTCGTTTTGTAGATTGTGGAAATAAATATTTCATTCAAAAGGACTATAATATCCACGACAAAATGAATCAAATATCATTCGTTCTTCAATCAAACATGAAAGAGTCACTCAAAATGATTAAATTATTTAAAGAAGAAGGTAAAACAATAACAGCATGGGATGTACTACTAAATCAATTGTCTTCATTAACCGTTAAGGGTGTTTGCTTTAAATCTGATTCTCCAGATGTTTTCTCAACGTTTCAAGGTTATAAATACAACGTTCTCGAAAAACCAGATTACTCAAAAATTGAGATGTTTATGAATTTCATTAAAGAAGCCATTTGTGATAATAACGATGAAGTGTATAAATACCTACTCGGCTGGATTGCATCAATGATTCAACATCCTGGAATCAAGAATGAAACAGCAATTATTTTGAAAGGACTTCAGGGAACAGGTAAAAACAGATTTACAGACATTATTTCTGAACTTCTCGCCGGTTATTCATGCAAAAACATTACCGAAATAAGTGAGCTAACGGGTAATTTCAATTCAGTAGTTGAGAATAAAATGTTTCTTGTACTTAATGAACTCAAGAATGTAGGTGAAGATAGACTCGCAAACTTCAACGCTTTGAAATCAATTATTACGGATAATGAGATTAGAATTAATGAAAAGAATCAACCCAGAAGAACTGCTCAGAATGTTGCTAATTTCATTTTCGTAACTAATAACGTCTACCCTGTCAAAATTGAAGTCGGAGACAGAAGATACGTAGTTTTAAGAGTTAATGGTAAATTTAAGGGTCAATTTGATTACTTCAAGAATTTAATGGATTCATGCACAAAGGAATTTTATGATAATTTACTGACGTATTTTATGCAATATGACCTTTCATCATTTAATGTACGAATCATACCGATGACTGAAGCCAAACAAGATTTAATAGAATTATCAACAAATCCTTTAGATGTATGGATAAATACACATTATGATGAATTGTGTGCAGGTATGACGTGTAAAAATGCTCTATTCTGCAAACCATCAGACATGAAAGACAAAAATTTCCAAATGAGCATTAAAGATAAATGTGATAAGAAACAGAGAAGAATAGATGGTAAACAAACATGGTGTTATGTTTTGAAAGAAGAAATGAAAGGATTATATAAACAGGTTGAACCAAACGATAATGAGGATTCATTTACTGATGATGAAATACCTGTAAATGAAGCTTTATAAAGTATGATTTGAATTTATTTTTGCCTTCCTCATTAATCCTGCCGTGTTGTCAAAATGTCATGTTGTCAGTAATTTTAAGAGAAGTTAATTAACCTGGTGACACATGGTGACGTAGTGACACCTTCAGTTATTCAAAAATAATTTATTTTTGCCTTCCTCATTAATCCTGCCGTGTTGTCAAAATGTCATGTTGTCATCATTTTTAAGAGAAGTTAATTAACCTGGTGACACATGGTGACGTAGTGACACCTTCAGTTATTCAAAAATAATTTATTATTGAATAACCTAAAAACCATTAACGATAAAATATATTTCTGCAGTTCATCCATTACTTCATTACCTAATTAATTACAGACATAAAATATATTTAGTTCATTCGGTAAGCCCTGACCCAAAGGTCTAGTCTCAAGCGTGTTCATTGAACGCGGTACCATGCAAATATAGTCACAAATGGTGGCATGTATTCTTTACTTTGTCCCGTTGTTTGTGTATATCCTGAAACGAAATGTGTATGGTTTCCTTCTCCCTGAGTGTCACTCCAGTAACAATTTATAGCAAACTTAACGTCGTCTTTAACATCATATCCTTTACCTTTTGTCATTCCTGACCAATCCCAATATCTATGCTTATGCCAACCTGCTTGAGATGTACTTAAATCTATGTAGTGACTGTGTGCAGGTAAATTTTCACCTGAAATCGTTTTACTTCCACCTGTTTCCTTTGAAGAGTTTGCACAATACAAAAACCTGTCGACTATTTGTTCCCATGCACCAACACCAAACATTACTTGAGGACCTCTTGCATCCATAGATGTATAAATAGAACCTACTGGGTTCATTAAATCAAACATATGAGATATTATAGGATTGTCTCTTTTGAACTTAAAATATAGTGCAACTATTTCAGGCTTCTTCTGGTTTGTGTCAGAATATTTTTTATAATATAATCTTATGTTTTCAGGGTAGGTAAAATCTTGACTATAATATTTATTTCTGTCATCTGTATAATAATATACTATTCTCGTTTTTTCTATTGCATTATATCTTTTATATCTATAATAATCTAAATATAATGTTAGCTTTTGTTCATCTACATGTGGTGTTCTGTCGTCATCTCCATAGTCATAATAATATGGTGCTGGAGCTGGGTCAGGCAATGTCATATCTGCCATTTCATAAACTCTTAAATATTTCTTTTGTTCGTCTCCATATAAGTTTAAGTAGCAGTTGTTGTCTAATGGAACTTTAACTTGTGTACCATCATTCTTTTTATAGCTTACATACATTTCATTGTTATTTTTCGGAATGAGTTTACACCGTGTACCATTTTTTAAGGACTGTACAAACTGCCATCTAAAATATTTATTTTCTTCATTGACAGAAAAGTCACCAACAATAGTTTCAATATTTTTTGTTGTTCCTATCAAACTTTGGTATATTTCATTAACATAAGTTTTATCCGCCTTCTTCTCTAACTCATTGTTAACATAAGTTTTATCCGCCTTCTTCTCTAACTCATTGTTAACATAAGTTTTATCCGCCTTCTTCTCTAACTCATTGTTAACATAAGTTTTATCCGCCTTCTTCTCTAACTCATTGTTAACATATGTTTTATCTGCTTTAAGGTCTAAACATCCCAAAACCCATCCTGTATCAGCTTTAACTTTAAAAGTCTCCAATGTCCATTCATGATACCATTCAACCTTTTCTTTAATTTCATTATCTTTTTCATCAACATAAACCAAATTTGCCTTCTTATTTAACTCACTATCCACATATTCCTTATCCACCTTCTTATTTAACTCACTATCCACATATTCCTTATCCACCTTCTTCATTATGTCATTTAGGAAACCTTCTATGAATTCCTCATTTAAATTAAATCTTCCAATCTTCAAAACTTTAGGAAATGCATTTAATGCGTAATATCTCTGTTATTCTGGTGGAATTGATGTTATATCATCCGTTATTCCTTTAATTTTTGAATTCATAAATAAAATTTCTTTTATATTTGATATCACTGCACCACCTTTGCAAACGAATTCGAAATGGTCATTTTTCAATACTATCTCCAAATCTCCATATTTCAACCTTTGCGTTTGTTCTGCCGTCTTTGAATTATATGCATATATGGCGTATGTAATGGTCTGAAGGACCTGGGTGCTTTGCGCCTTAAGTTGCTGTTGTTTAATCATTTATTACGATTTAAAAATAAATATTTAATCCGTTATCTCATCAGCTATTTTCTCTATTTGAAATTGCCATAATATTTCATTCATAAATTCTAAATCACAATCAAATAGGTCAGTTATTCTAAATTTAATATTTGATAAATCGTTTGAATGAAGAATAAATGAATTCCCGGATAATTGAAATGGATATGATAAAGAAAATGTGTTTAAGTTGATGGATAAAATGTTTTGTATTGATGGGTAAGAGTTAGGGTCTAATGTTTGATGTGAAAATCTCATTGGGTATTAACTTTATCACATTTGATTAAAATGAAATTGGAACCAGTGTCAGAATACAAAACATCCCAACATCTTTTTCAAAATTTAATATCCCCAACAATGAACGAAGATGAGGAGTACAAAATTTAATTTTTCAGCGGAATTTAATAAGGTTATTTATTTCATCAAGTTCAAAAAGTTTATCAGGTTTTGATTTAAAATTTTCTTCATACCATACGATAAATGATTCATTTAAATAACTTAAAATCGTGTTAATATCCCATTTCGCTATCACATTATTTATATACATATCATACGTTTTTTCATGGTCATCTTTAATAAATGATATATAATCTGAAGGGTCTAAAAGAATGGGATTAAATTTACCACTCACAGAAACGAGAGTAACATTATAAATTCCGCTAACTGTTAAATTTAATTCACAGTTATTATTCGAAATAATATTGATAATTGACATTTTTATTACGATTAAAAATATGGTAAAGCGTTATTTTCCAGTGATAAATAAAACTAGAATAAGATTACCTCAAGAATTCATAAATTCAACGAATAAGAAATTCATTCATGTTATAAATTTTAGTGTTTTCAGAAAATATGAGTCAGTGTCATATTCATCAACAGGTTATATTTCACTTCATTCAAATTTAGTTCAATCAAACCCATATAATGACCATTTCATAAGATTTTCAGATGGTAAAAAATGTAATTGATAGATTAAAATATGAACAGATTGACAATATCGAATTTTTGGAATTTTGGTTTAAATATCCCGATGGAAAAAAGATTGAAGTTAAAGATAAAGCTGATACTATAACAAAAACAATTACAATGACCGATCCGGATAGTGGGGAACAAAAAGAAATAAAACAAACGATAGAAACTGGTGAAAGGTCAATTATTATTGATTATGATTCAAAGGATTATTATTCGATAATGTTAATGCTTGAATATTAAATAGCCTTAACAAAGAATTTTTCAAGTGATATTTTATATTCATCAACTATTTTATATATAAATATCATTATATGTTAAATGAAGTTCAGTTGTTGTTCCGTTCTTTGATATCTTAATTGTGCTAATATCCTTTATAGGATTTATTTTTGCAACTGTTCCGCAGCATGAAACCTCATCATCTATGAAAAATTGAATCTTAACGTCTGAATCTTGAACATCACAAAGAATGGCGATAATGTGAATTAATGATTCATAAGGTAAAATAATTAAACCAGATTGGTCAATTAAATTTATAGGGTGTCCAAAGGTGTGTTTAGCACAAACCTGAATACTGCGAATAGAAATAAACAAGTTACATATATATAAAGTTTATTTAAATATAATCACCATTGGATTCAATCACGCGTTCGCAGCGATCGATCCAGGCTTGAAAGACACGCTTTAAATCATCATGAGAAAATTGCTCAAATTGCTCTCTTACAAAATTTTCAAGATCATCTGGACTCGCGAATTCGCGTCCTTCAGCTCTCTTTTTTAGCGTGCCGAATAAATAAAAGTCAGAGGGTGCAATATCAGGTGAATAAATTGGGTTTGGAACAACTTTGACATTGTTTTCCACCAAGTAATTCATTACCCTATGACTTTTGTGAACTCTTGAATTATCAAAATGAATTGCAAACTTTTGTTTTTGTTGTTTGGATTTCTCAAACTCATCAGAATTGATAATTTGAGTAAGAACATTGTCAATTAGATACTGAGCATTCATCGTATTAGGTTTTTGAAGAATATCAATTGCGATGATGCCATTCACGCCCCAAAAAACCGACAACATCATCATTGGTGTGTCAATTTTTTTCTTCGGGAATGTTTGCGGATTTTCATCCTTCGGGATCCACATGATTTTGGCTTCTGTTGCATATTGAAACCAAGACTCGTCCCCTGTTACTAAAAAGCGAAACTTCTTGGATTGATACGCACGCAATATAGAGAGGAGCTCTTTCGAAGATTGGACTCTAGATTTTTTTTGAACTGAATTAAGGTTGTGCGGAACCCAACGTGTATACGCTAGTTTGTAGTTCAAATAATTGTGCAGATAATAACTGACTGTTGTACGTGGTATCTTTGTCATCTCCTCTATCCTTCTGAGTGATGCTCTTGGGTCTTCATCTAGCGCTTGAAGAATTGCTTTGATTTTTCTTTGATCCGGCGATTTTTTGTCAATTTTATGATGGGCGCCTTTTGTTCATGAAGTGATACATCCTAACATGATACGTTACAGTGGAATAGCTAGGAGCATCCATACCGAAGCATTTTACCAATGTCTCGTAGATTTTTTTACAGTCTTTGCATTTTTTTGCAAGAGCGAGGATGTTTTCTTTATGATTCATTTAAAAAATGAAAAAAATCCCGCCAAAATTTCCCGCGAAACCGCCTCTTGTCTCAAAATTCATTTTATATCCCGGCATGGCGCCAAAATACAACTTACTCATCATATACATATATTCATATTTTTAATTATATATTTATAATCAGCATATATCTCCTTTAATAGTCTCATATAGAGCGCTGTGCTAAACGCACCTTTGGACACCCTATATTATTGAATCATAATTATTAATTATTATATCACGGTAAATTTTCATTAATTCAGAATTAATGTCTATTTTATATGGGTTCTCGATGTTTGATGAAAGAGGTGGGGGGTATGTTGGATAAGTGGGAATTTCAACAGGTTCTTTACCGGGTTCAGATAAAATGATTGGGTCTCCATCTTCTTTATTTTGCTCCTCCTCATTCTTCGGTAAGTCACGAGTTAATAAATTTGGTTGAGTTGCTGACCTTGTTAATTCAGGGCTAACATTAACTTTAACATTTTGAATAATTCGTGATTTATCATCATTTACGTTATAACCAACCGTAATCTCTGCTTTTGCGTTAGTGTTCTTTTGACTAGTGAAACGTCTTCTCATTTATATTCGAATAAAAAAAATATATTTAAACTTTTATTTTGCTGGAAGTTTTGAATCTATTATTCCCTGTATTTGTTCTTGAAGTTGATTTTTAGCTGGTTCATTGTAATTAATAGACCTAATATATTCATTAATTGCATTCTTATAATCATCTGATTTCTCAAATTTTCTTTTATCTGATTCCTTAACTAAATCATAAGTTAAACCTCGTTGCTGATATAATGGTTTCTTAATTAAATCTTTGAATGCTTGAGATAAAGCACCTGATGCAATTCTTGCTACTATAATTGGTTGGAATTGCTGTTTAAGTTCATCTTTAACATTTGCGAAAACTGGATCGAATAAAGCAACTTTAAAGAATTTCTTAGCTGAAATTTCAGGTCTAATATTTGCATATTGACCATCAAACTGGTTAGAATATCGTGGTAATCCATCCGGTCCCTCTTCAATAGCATTTAATTCTTCATTGAAATAAGAATATGGATTATAACGGTATGAATTAATTGGACCATTTTCACCTTCTCCAATGTATTGTTTAACAGCTTTTCCATTTTCATCAAATTGCATAGGATAACGTTCATTATATGCTTTACGTTTAGGATAATCAGATATAGTTAATTTATAACCATTTATGACTTTAATATTACCTTGACCATCAGTAACGAAAACTTCATTTACACCATCGGGTTTTCCATTTGGACCCGTAATGTCTGCTTCGTGTGCTTCCCAATTTGGACCTTGACGTTTGGCATATGCTTGAGCTTCTGGTAATGTTAAAACATTTCTCATTTGTTTAACATCTTTTTGAAGACCAGCAACAATATGAACTAATTCTTTCATTCCATCAGGAACTTTCATAGTTCTATTATATGTACCCTTTTTGTTTGTCCCTTGTTTTAATGGAACCTGTAGAAGATTTGCTATTTCTGTCATGTTTAATTATAAATAAAAAATAAAAATTAATTATAAAAAGTTAATCAAATTTAACACCTCCTTTATTTAAATCAACTATTATTTTTCCATGTTCACCTAATTGCTGATATTGTGTGTAAAGTTCATTAATGCTCATTGGTAAATTCACTTGATAAAGCATAATGTTCAACTGTTGACGACTAAACCCACTGAAAATGAAAAGGGTTGATAGATTTGATTTAATGTTTGTGCTTAATGCTTTGAAATATTGAACAGCCATAAAGAATGAACACTGAATGTGTCGACATTGAGTTAATAACTGATTAATATATGATTTCTCATTTGTTATTAGTTTTGATTTCACTGCATCATCTAGAAAAATGAGTGAATGCAAAAATTCTCTATCAAAATTTGAAATAGAAAGTGTTTCAAATAATTCATCCCGTTGTTTATCAATAATTTTATCCTCTAATCCTTGCTTCTTGATTGTATTATATAATTCTTTATACATTAAAAAGTTTTTTAAATAAT